CCCCCCCCCCCCCCCCCCCCCCGACCCCCGGTCCTGGAGTCCACCCCTATCATTTCTACATAGCCCTACAATCCACAAAAGCACAGTAGTTTGACTGTAAGAAAATCCAATGACGTCTGAGGCTCATTTGACGCCTCTTTACATACATTCAAACACGCAAACTCGGCAAGCAAGGCAAGAAGCAGTTTGGTGCTACGGTGAAACTCCTCGCAGAAAATCGAAACTGCTTCCCACCACCCGAACGCCCCATCGAAAGTTCCTTTCAAGGCGATCATCTCAAGTCGCGATGCAGCAAAAACGATCAATAGTCCTTCAGGCCCGGGGACAGCATTTCAACGTCCTCAGGGTTCCGGAAAACACCTCTAGGCAACCCCCCCCCCCTTCCTGCCCCCCGTGGCATGCTCCAAAACTACTCCCACTGGATAAGCACAACAACATGCAATTCCTGGGATGCATATCGGCACCTAGACGCTCAAATGGCATTAGCTGTACGTCTGACTCGAATAATTCATCCACCGCGTCGACTAGTCCTGAAAAAAACGACAACCGTAGAGCATCTAGTCTAAACATCAACGACTGGTGTCAGGGTCCGTTGCCGTCCTCGACAAGAAACAGGGGCCGGCGGCGGCGGCTGCTGAACCAAGGGAACCACCGCCCCTCTCGGCCGACCCGCTCCTTCTTGGACGCGAGCACCGGCCCCCACCCGCCCACCCGCCCCCCTTCCCCCTCCGCGAGCACCAGCGGGGCGGCCCCGGCCACCCTGTCCCTGGCCACGCCCGTGTCGCCCTTCCTGACGCCCACCACAACCGCGGCCGCCAACCTCCGTCCGCGTACCGCTTTGCCTACCCCCCACCCCCTACGCTCATCTCTCCTCGCCCTCTACCCCTTCCCTCGCCTCGCCCCCCACTCCTCCCTGCGACTTGCCCTCCGGCTCTCCCGCCGCCCCACCCGCCGTCCTGCCCGCCGCCATGCCCACCACCTGCTCCGCTTGGTCGATTGGCTTCCCCCGCTGCCCTTGCCTCTGCGCGTTCCGCCTTTGCTTTCTCAGCTGCCTCCTTCTCTTCTTTGTCCTTCCTAGCAATAGCAAGGTGTTCTTTGGCGGACGTGAGACCGCCCTCGGGCTTGCCCCCGCCCGCCCGCCCGAACGGTCGCGAAAATCTTCGAGCGCTTGCGGAGGCGGGCCGTCGAGGACGAGGGAAACTTTGCCCTGCAAGCCGCGCGCATCGAGCTGTTCGCGGAAGTCTCCGAGGTATAGCCGAGGAAGACGTGGCTCTGGATGAAGGATGACTCCGTGACGGTGTACTTCGCATCGTGGATGCCGTTGTTGTCCTCGATCCAAGCGGGTTGCATACGCTGGCCTTTGTGGATGATGGTAGGGTGGTAGGTGTTGCCGTCTGCGCCGATGCTGGCGACCACCGTCGTATTTTCTCGCGAGTTGGAGCGCCTGGCGCCGGGCACCTTGGTGCCTGTTGGGACGATGGTCTTCCCCGACTTTGTACCTTGCGGGGTGGAACCTACAACACACACGGGAGAACGTGCGTGCATCGGGGGTCAAGGCAGTCGAACAGTCAGTAAAATACACACCCTTTGCAGCGGCGCTCGCACATCATACACGCGCGTACACACACCTGAGCGCTGCCCGCAAGGGACGGTTGCAAGCGGTGGTGACTGGACATTATTTTTTGTGTGCAACAGCTGTTGGATTCGTTTAGACTTTGGGTGTGAATCAAAAACTCCACCACCAATGACAGTTCACACGGAGCTCCAAACCAAGGTGGGCTTACAAAAACAAAGCGTCCTACTGAATTATCGGCTTGCTTACAGTTCGCAGCGTTCAGCAACACACATGCATGTGCGGACCAACAGCACACACGCCCGCTGCTGCGTGTTGCACCAAAACAAACAATATGTCCTATCATGAACGAGCCCTACCATTTCTTCGGTAAAGTATAACTGATATGACCGCAGAGAATGCTGCATGTTCAACCCTCAACTGGATCCACGTATCACACGGCGTTGTGCGCGCATGACAGGCGCAGCCGCCCTGCAAAGGCATGCGGAACAGCTGCTGTTTTTTTTTCGCAGCAGCAGCAAACCTCCGCTTTGTTGTGACACATCGCAGTGCTGCTGGTACTTCACCTACGAACCCACAGCAGTCGATACTGACACCACTAGACACCACTAGACACCACTAGACACCACTGACACCTCAGCCCTTGCCCTAACTCGCCTGTCTCATCCGTGTTGATGATGCAGTCCGGCGTGAGCTTGGTCTCCGCGAGGTACGCGTCCCAGGATTCGTAGAAGGCTTCAGGGCGAGACTCGTCGTCTTCGTTGATCCGGTTTGCTTCGTAGATGTGGGTGGCTCGCTCCGACAACTCCGGATGCCTCTTCAGGAACCACTGAAGCCAGCGATCCCCCGGGCCCTTGCTTGGGTCCCAGGGCACCTTGCGCCCGTCGAGGCAGATCTTCCGCACAGCGTCTTTCAGCTCCCTCCGACCCAACAGCAAAAAGTGTCGGGAAGCGCAGAGCAAGACATCTTCTACGAAATCTTCCTCCTCCTTGCTCAGGGCAGTCCCGGGACCAACCTTCGCATCTATGGCCACCTTGTTGGTCACACGGCTGTGCAGCGAGTTCCTGCTTAACCCGTAGGCCTCGGCAGCACCCCTGACTGACATCTGACCGCTGCATACCGCATCAACAGCCTTCTGGGCCTGCTCTGGGTCCACTCTTGTCCGCCCCATGCTTATCAGCAGGAGCCCGACAAAGGCAAAGACGCCTCGCATCACGGGTGTGGAGGGAGTGGGTGCTGTACCTCGGGGATGCGTGACCCGATCGGCGCGCTGAAGTGCTCGAACGAAAGCTAACGGAAAGCTGAGCATTTTGAAGAAAAAAACTGGGGTCCCCGCGGATCGTGCGGGCATATATGCCCATTTCAAAAAATTGGCCCTTCATAGGGGGTAATAGGTTGGTTTACAGTGCTGCACGGCTGAAAATAAAAGAAAATAAGTGTGAGAAAAAAAGCTTCCAACGGGAAAGCAGCCCCCTGTGGAAACCCCTCTGATGAGGTGGCTCGCGGCGCAACAGACCTCCACATCCAGCACGGGCTCTAGAGGGCGAACAAGAGGCTAAACTGCCCAGAAAACAGAGAGGTATGTTAACACGATGCAAGAGCACAGCAGGGTATGTTTATACGCCCAGAAACACAAAGTACGGTGATAAATTTGGGCTTTAGCACGAGCGTGCCACACTGCAGCAGCTCCAAAATCAGCGAGGAAGCTTCACACGCGAACCGACCTCTGGGCAAGGTTGGCGTCTTGCAGCCTATTTATACTGCCGACATGTACCTAGGTCTCACTGCCACCTAATGCAAAAGGTTTGAGGCGATTTGGTGCGGCAGGAGATAAGCATGGTGTGTTCAAAATTCAAATTTCAGGAGAGCCCACGCTGGAGATTCGAACGCACGCTCGTGCATGTTGCGCATGTACATCCACTGGATACACGACCCCCATCCAAAGATACCATGGAAATGCCCGATAGAAGCACGCTAGCTCAGTGTCAGGCTATCATAACAAGTTATAGAAAATCTGGGCTTCGATTGGGCAAGTACGACTGTCTAGAAGTTAAAATTATATGCGGTGCTTTTCCATGGTACGAGTCAAACATGACCCGGGGCGCTCAGCTACGTACACTCCAGACCGTGCATATAGATCGAAACGCCGCAGAAATATCGAGTCGGGCATAAATACTACGTAGATCGACAGGTTCCAGTCCGTCACGCTCTCAGGAACGTAACCATGCCCATACAGAGGATCATATATTATCCATGGCTGGCAAGAGACAACGAAGCGCCCACAGACATAGCATAGGTGTACGTACGCCTGCGTAGGCTGTACGTGTCACGTGACATTTTGTAGTTTTTGTCNCGAAACGCCGCAGAAATATCGAGTCGGGCATAAATACTACGTAGATCGACAGGTTCCAGTCCGTCACGCTCTCAGGAACGTAACCATGCCCATACAGAGGATCATATATTATCCATGGCTGGCAAGAGACAACNAATTTGGCAAATCTTGTTTCCCTAGATAGCTACTGGAATAGTCAACTGCTGTAAACATTTAGGCTTGGGTGGATGTAGGCCAGTCGCGCAGTTCTTCTGCGCAAAACGATTATATTTATTCCTCCGCCTACTTTTTTTTATTTTCAGCCGTGCAGCACTGCTGTTTACTCCACAGATCATGTACTCTAAATACCTGTTGAAGGATAACGTGTTCCCGTCGCGAAGAGCGAGATATAGCTGAACTGTGCCTTCGCCAGGCACGCATCGGACATGGAGCTCGAGCGCCTCATTTCGACACGGGGTGTCTGGCTCTCCATCCATTGTGCCTCGGCCACCGTCTCAGCAGTAGTTCCCACGTTGCAACCAGAACCCACTGATGCACGTTGCCCTGTCAGGCTCGATGAGAATCGAGGAGGCGTGTTTGTGGGGGGCCAACAGTAACAGGCCCGTCGGTGTCGTCTCTTTTAGCGCACCCGGCCCAAACTTGATCCGCGGCCCTCACACGTCCAGGCACAGTAGCGTTGCCGACAGGGAAGGTTTGGTGCAGCGCGAAAGGCTGAGTGTTGTCCACGATGTCGAGATCGACTCTGACAGGGCTGAACACCTCCAGCTCGGAGAGAGAGTACGTCGCTCTTGGCGTCGAGCTGGGGATGCGGGGGGATGGCCGCGGCAGGCTTGACTACCGCTCCCTCTCCGTCCAGGCCGGCGTGCTCGCACAGGTAAGCAAAGAGTCTCCAGCCAGCCGGCTGTAGGTGTGTATGCGTTACTTGTGCTAGTAATGGGTGTGTATGCCTTGCGCTTTGGCACAAGCGCTGCGAGTGGTGTACTCGCCCGCCTGTTGTGACTGCTACTCTTTGACTGCTGTTTTGCCTCCTCGAAAACCCTGCTGATGAGATGCAATGCATGTACATGCACCCGTGGTACAGCAGAAGTGTCGTCGACCATATGGTGCTTCTATACAACAGCAGCACGTGTGAATCGGGCCGTACACTCGACGGCAACTTCCCCAGCGATGCTGTGCGCAGCATGGAAGAAGATTTCACCTCTAACCGCAACGTGTTGGTAGATGGAATAGGTAGACACGGCGGCGTTCATGAACGCTCTTTGGTTCAAAGATCTGCTGATTGCCGCCCGCAGATAGCTGGCGTGCGAATGTACCGCCAAACGCAGCGACGACGCCGATTGCATCATGTCCTATACAGGGGACAAATTGAGGTTAAGATCGAGCACACCTGTTTGTCGATGCGCTGACCTGTGTTTTGTTTTCCCCCATTCTCTATTCGCCGGGTGCCCCGTCCTGTCGCACGGTGGCTGCAACCCCACCACCACCATCAGTCCAACGGTTCTGCGAGGGTAACCATAGCTCACAACGGCACGGACGTCCTCGCTGCGGTGAAGGTGTATGAAGTCGCTGCCTGTCGTAGTAGATAGCGGTTAGGGGTAGAGGGGTGGCATGAGGGAAGCAAACATCACTAGGAGGAGAGGGATTGTAGCGTGAGGCGAGCAAACATCGTAAGGAGGAGAGGGGTAGCATTAAGGGAACACCCAACGCAAGTGTGCAGCTGCAGCCTCGTCGGTCTAAACGCACTCCAGAGAAAACTTAGCCATGCGTTCCACGTGATCACGCACCCTTGGACAGCCGCAGCGTAGATGTTGCACCTGTACGATCGCGCTTGACCAAGAATGGCGAGTGCCTGCCACGGTTCTTATCCGCCGGGTGGTTCTCTCGAGCAGAACCACCGTTTAGCTCTTCCCCTTGGGAAAATCACGGACAAGAAGTATACGCCATCGTTAACCACGAAGAACCAAATGAAACCATCAAGGTGGAGGTGGGAGAACCGGGCCTTGAAGCTCCTGGCGCGGGCCGCGTGGAGGTGTGCATCTCGTGCTCGAACAGCCTCTTCCCCAAGTTCGACGAGCGGTCATCGGGGGACGTGAACGCGGTGTTGAGCGGGGCACTGGAGAGAAGCATGCGGGGAGTCGGCGGTGAGGGGGTGGGGCGGAGAGGGGGGAGGAAAGAGGAAAAGGCGGAAAGAAAAAGTGGGATGTAGTGTGACAAAAGGCAGGGAACAAAGAGAGAGAGAGAAAGAGAGAGGCTTGAGTGAAGCTATGATGTCTTTGTAGTGCTGTGTGGTTTAACCCTTGCTGTCGGCATGCAATCACTGCTGGATCTTGGGAGTGCGCGGTTTTCGATGTAGGATGTGCAGCATTTTGCGATATCCTGGCTACGGAAGGGTTTCGAAAATACCTCTTTATTTCTGTCTCCCAATCTTTGCATCAGTGACATCCTAAGTTCGGGCGAGGGCTTGCGTGGAGCTGAGTCGTTTTTTTCTCTCCAAGGATTGTTAAGAGAGGTTATTTTTGGCCTTCTGGGCGACGCCCGTTCTTAGAATGTTGGTCCCCTTCTGGGTACCTTGATTTTGCCCGCTTGACATCGAGGTCGTTCCGCTGGTCAGCCGGTTAGCGCGATTGATACTCGTTGCAGCAATGCACGCATACAGAAGGAGAGACCGGTTGGGTACGGCGGTGCAACACCGCAAGGTTGTACGAACTGGCTTGCGTACCGCCAACAGCCTCGCGCTTTTTGCTCGGCGTCTCGTCGCCCTTCCCTTCCCTTCTCGCCTCCACGATAACCCGCGACCGATCCATCGTTCTGCGGAACTACCAACAACAACAACGACGTCGACGACACACGCGCCTCCGAGCATAGGGCTCGACCTCGATGCCCTCGGCATCGTGGACGGCAAGTTCTGCTGGGTGGTCTTCGTCGACATCCTCGTACTGCAGGTATACGAAGGGGATTGGAACAGTTTCAACGGGGGGAGGAAAGGTGAATGTGCGGTTTATTGCTCCCGCCCTCGTTCCGCGTTCGAGGTATGCATGCGTTGTTTGTCACCGCTCATGACATGACGGGGCTAGAAGATCACGTAAATAGGCGTATCGACGAAGGGCGGAAAAATGATTTTCGCGCCTCTTGTCCTAATTCCGCGTTCGATACATGCGTACGTTGTACATCACCGCTTACAATGAACAATTCTGCAGGACCAGGTAGGCGTGTTGAACACGGTAGTTTGTCGTTGTTGTTCGTTCGTTCCACTTTCAGACACAGGAATCGAAATCGGCCGCACCGTGGGCATCTTTCTCGCTATGCCCAACAAATCGGACGTGCTTGGATTTGATTTGTGAGCAGGAACGAAAGGTTTGTCGCTTGTCGTGTCCTGAAAGGGATGCTCGGCCGGTGGCCGAATGACTCATGGCAAGCAACCCCTCCCCGTCGCCGCCGCCTCCCTCTCCTGCTGAACCCCCTCCGCATTCCTCCAGGCCGATGGAAACTTGCTGGACGCGTCGTCGTTTGCCGCATACACCGCGCTCAACACCGCACGAATACCCAAGGTAATGGGTGTCTGTTTTGTTCTCAGTGGCTTTGATTGGCTGTAGGTCTGTGTCGTTTTGTTTTTTGTGCTTTTGCTTCAAGATTCTTTGGAGACGCCGCTTTTCTCGTGGCTACAAGTAACGGAAGCTTCTAAGCGGGAATGGAGAACGTCGATTCCGTAGGCATCGCTTACGAACGCGCTTCGCGCTGATATTGGCGAACGTGTTTCGAAACAGTGCTAGAACCCCGGTTGGTGCGTCCGAACACATACTAAACAGCCCACCCAGATGTATTGGGGTGGCACACACACGCACACCGTCGTAGCTGAGTACACCTTTGCCTTTTTTGGTGCCCCGTGTTTAGCCCGTTCCTTCCTGTTGGACAATGTTGTCAAGAGGTTTTTGGTGCCGGTTTTTGCGAAACAGGTTACGCCTCTTGTCGGGGAGGGCGGAATCTACGACGACTTCGAGATATCATCGAATATCGACGACGCCGTCGCCATCAAGGGCGCGACAAACGTTCCCGTGTGCCTCACAATGTCCCGGGTAAGTAGGCAGGCTAGGCGGGAACGAGAGAGAGCTGTATATGAGAGAGAGATAATCGACAAACTATTACGCCTACATAATAATCACTGAAAGATTGCCCGATATGCTACCCCAGTCGAAGGGATGGCTTACAGTTTTAACTGCACAGCAAGTGGGGGATGAAGCCTGCTGGACACTGGGCTGTTAGTGAGTCAGTTTGATCACTGGGTTTACATCGAAACAGTTTGATCCGGGTGCTTTTTCAGAACCCCCTCGTTTGGTTTACCACGGCGGAATGGTTTGGTAGAAGTATTTGGTTTTTGGGAGGCAAGGGACGGGATTCGGGGGGGGG